TAATATATATTATCATGTCACCATCACTGTGTGCAAATAACGCCGCGTGGGACGACGGAAATTTCGATGTCGAAAAAAAAACGTTACTAAAAATTAATAGTGTACATTTCGCAGCTTCGCACGGAAATGTGCATGTGCAACAATAACAAAACGCAATGACGTAATACGTTTCGACGCCAAATACGACGTCATATTATTGTAATATTATTATTACTGTCAATATTTTTTATTTTCATTTAATTGCGACGGAACCGGAATAAGTATGATATACGTGACCTCTCCGCGGTGGAGTTCATATTATTATTATTGGTACACGTGCAGACAACTTTAAAACAAGGCGGCTCTCGGTTTCCAGTTAAATATATTACTTACTATATGGTTTGACGTGAATCGGTCAGTATTACATTATCTGCACTGCAATTAATTTCCGTTCGTGTAAACTATGGCTATAGACGGAATAGGAAGTAAGATTTTTTTTCTTTCGAACAATCCAAATCCGTAAAAATATGATTTTCAGGCGAAGAGAAAGCCAAATTAAAATTCTTCTGATATATATTATATTATTATACATATAGATAAAGACTTAAGGTAATCGCCCGGAATTTATCGTATACACGCGTTAAGACGTATTTTATTATTGTGATAACGTGAGTAAAAAATAGTAATAACACTTCGAATAACAAACTTTACCTACGTGTCGAATAGTGTAATACCATTATTATAATATTACTGTTTGGTGGTAAAAAACGAGTTCGCGGCCCGGATGTCCGATCGAATAACGTGCAATTTTCAAATCCGGCACGCGTCACCTCCGTTTTTGACGACAAACGCATATAATAATAATAATAATTTGAGTGTGTGTAATGTACCTACATTGTTTATACCATGCGTTATGCGTATATTGTAATAATATTTTAATCATTAAAAACTGAAATGAGTACGTGAGGTTTTCTATCTGTATTATCATCTTAACACGGAGCGTTCGCCGTATAAGTACATAACATCGTATAAACTACAACGCAAAAATAGCGCGAGAAAACAACAAAAATAGATACAATCCTTTTACTACGAAATTAATATTATTTATGTTCCTTTTGAATAGAACCAAATAAAAAGAATATGATAACAAACGACTTGTTTACCCAAATATGCGCATATATTACACATGTACAAGACAGACATAATACACATTATATAACACACGGCGATTGACATAATATTTTATTAATTTTTATTCATGAGAGCATATTATATTATATACCATAACGTATCGTTTTGATCGTGTGAACTATTTATTTCGGCTCACCCTAAAAATATAATATAATAACTAAGAAATGCAATATTATATTATATTATATTTTTTTTTTTTTTATTGAACTTAAGCCCGGCGACTAAGGCCATTTAGCTGTTGTATAGGGGGTTATGAACTGTGGTAGGGGTAAGGTTGGTACGGTAGGTTGTTTTTACGGTTGTTACGGTAGGTAGCAAACAAGTGTATGTGGGGCAAGGTTTTTAACTGCTACGAACCCGGGTGGTCACCCATCCGGGAGCTAGTAGCTGTGGCCGTTACTCACTCTCAGTAGCATTCCGCGACTGGTAGCAGGCAACGCGCCACGCCAAGCCACATTATATCATATTGTAATGATGGAAATAGGCAAGTGCTATTGTCTATATATTATGCTATACGTATAATGTCACATTCAGCCATTACCCGTTCACCAGATATTTACTAAATAAACGCCCATAATATTTGAATGAAATCTAGATTTTGGTTATCTCCACCCCTGCATCCCTTCGATTTACTTTACTTTACTGCAGAAACTATCAACGGGGCCTATATATTCTGTACGAACACACACTACACACACAATGTAGACATGTAGTATATGTGGAGAAACAACCAAAAGTCGATGACGGTATATTATGTATATTTCACATGGATATAATATGAGTTTTTTTAAGTTAAAATTTTTATTCCGATTATTATTATATACTGTCCTGTACGTGCAATACAATATTGGGGTGGAGTTTCGCATGCTGTATAATCTTGTAACTTTGCACGGTGAGTGATGACTACGTCCGTTAACCTTTTTTACAACGTTATTCAATATAAACGAGCTTACTGTATGTCACACGAATCTTTGGCAAGAGACGATACCTTTTGCAGACCTCAGAACATTGCCATCAAATGTAAAGCATTGAGTACAGATTACATTATACTTATTATGTTATTAATGTTATTATACATACTATATAATATTGCATTAACTCCGTGTGGGGTATGAGACTAGGTTTGAGACTTCAAGACTTAAAGGACACAATAATATGCACATATTATACGCGATATAGACCTGCAGTGGCAAGACTATTTCACAAAATTATGATTTAATTAAATATTTTATATTCATATGTATTTTTTAATGTACCTTCGAAATATGACTGTAACGTTTTTATTATTGTCTGACACGGCCAGTGACATTTTTTAACTTTTGAATATGGGCCAAAAAGAGCCCGAAAACGTTGCCGACAGCTAATATAGGCGTACCCACTTACAATGGCATTTATCGTTTGTCGTTATCGTTTTGTTATTTCGGTAATGAATACTGAAATATACAGAACCCTAAAATAATATAATATATAGGTATTTATAAATACGGTCTTAAGACATTATAATAGATATGTTTTAGACGTTTAAATTGTTTTAGTAACTTTACTCGTGGACACTTTTATCAGTTTTTTAATTAAAAAAAAATACCAGACATAATTTATTTAAAAATGTATCGTATTCTTTTGATTTCATGTAAAATAAGTGCTATTTATCTAAAAAAAATAATTGTCTGACTCATCTACTTCAACTTGATTTTACGCCATTACAGATTACTGACTAACGTAACCAGTGAAAGACAGCGAGATAACAAACATCGGCGTGGCGTCTTCTACTTAATCCAAACGACTTATAACACACGAATGTCACTAGTTTTTCGATAACTTGTTTTTCGTATAGTACCTACCGAAAAGACAAATTTCTTCCACAACGGAGCCTCCGTTTTTGTTTGTCGATCGGTTTTTTCAAATAATATAATTATAATAATATATTCAGATACATAATATTATATCGGGCCCGTCCCTTCTGTTCGGTCACGAAGCGGACTGCATTTTTTATGAATTAAATGGGTTATAATATACTTCAAAACTGTATTTTTACTCCATTTGGGCACTGTTTGTTTTATCTTATCGGCAGTATGAAAACCGATGGTAATTTGGAGTTTGTACCTATGAAATCTATAAAAGCCAACACTGACGATTCCTATAGCAGTATAACCATCCGCCTTTTGTGACTATCAGTTACGAATACTTTATAAAAATATCATAGGCCCAATAATAATGTTATAGTATACATGACATATTAACGAAGGTCACAATAAAAATAATATTATATCACACAGATGCAGCCACGTTGATGCGTGTCGCAGCTTTTGGTAAACATTTTTTTTTTATGAAAAACTCGACACTCATTAGTATTATCACCCTGCACGTACATGAAATATTATCACAAACAATGGGTCGTTTTAAAGTATGTAATGTACGACAATCGTATTTCTGTGCTCACGTCTAGACATGTTGTAATACATGGGGTAGTGTACCTATAACCGACTCGCACGCAAATTGGTACCAAAGTTTATAGAAAAATATAAAGAACTACGACGTGGTTGTATATGATTTTCTGATAATCGTGACGACATTGAAAACAATGACCTACTTTAAACAACAAAAAATGCATTAAGTCACCTTATTTTCATATCTCGTATAAAAAATACATTCTAAATAAATTGTTCGCATTATAGACAGTTGCACTATTATCCTTATTATTCAAGTTATTAGTACTAATCAAATCATTTCAACAAAAATATAATTATACACTGTATATTATGAGTATGTCTCATGTCTGTATAATATACTGACTACAGTTGTAACTTGTAATGCGCAGCAAATTATTATGACTCAATATTATAGAAAAAAAGGTTTGATGTGTAAATGAACCATTTGTGATAAATAACAAACAGATTGCATTAACATCAATTATTACTGTATAAGCGATATTATAACACGTGACGGTAAATTCTAAATAGTGTAATAAATTAATCATCTTGTTTGACGTTTAATATCGCGGGCGACTAAGATTTGATTTAACATTTTCTTTTATATCTGATCTGAGTTTGTTTGTAATGAACTATACTATATGAATAATACTATTTAATATACTATAGCACGTGGTATCTGCATTTTTAAAATAAACATTGATTTTGGTTTTGATCGAATCATTTATAAAAAAATAATAATAATTAAAGTCTAATACTTAACTTCGCTGACATAACTACTGACTGGTCGTTGTAGATAATTGCACTATATGCACTTCATGCACATAAGCCATAGGTATAACAGGTTACAATTAATTATGATATTGTTGGAGAGGTCGAAATCACCAATAAAGTAACCATATCAACTAGTATATTCACCGAGCGGAATTAAATCGCTCACATCGTAATACTACACAATCAATTATTACACCTTATGCGCCTACTACTTAAGTATATTATTATTGTTCTAATAGTCCATTTAATAATTTCTATTTATTTCGGAGCCAACGCCGTGTTATAATTTATAATAATATTATATGGACACACACACATAATAGTAATAAAATAAAGGTATTGATTTGTACACCTGTATCTATCTATAGATACCTTGATGCAGTTTCATAAGACATTTCTCCAAACCAAGTGGGTGCGTCCCTACGCTCTCGAGTATCTTAATAATATTGTTACGATACTGGTTTACTAATTTTATTTGCATCGTTGTATTATCATAATATTATCATCATCGTCGTCGCGTAGTTGTCGTTATTAATTTGTACACAATATCCCCAACATATTACATAGGTACGCGTTTCGTAATTTGACGAGCGAGTAATAATCGCATCTGTGTTTTTATTATTTCAGAGCTCGGAGGAAGAGTTGCCTGTGTGCGAAAAGTGGGCGGTGTGCAGCAAGGTGGACATGTATCAATGGCCGTGGGTGGAGAGGCAGTGCAGGTGTCCACCGGGCGTGCCGCCGTGCTCGCAAATGCTGTCGCCGGCTGACGGGCACACCATCACGGACAAAACGAGACAGTTCAAGGTAAAAAAAAAAAAAAATAAAAATAAAGAGACACAAAATACGAAAATCCGCGGCGGCTAAGGCCTTTACGCGCGCACTCGCTTATATCAGCTCGAAAGCGCGCCTTGTGCGCCGCCGATATCGCACAATAAATAATATTATTGTTGTATCATATATAATATATTATTATTATATAGTTTATACTATGTCTGTGCCCGCAGTATTGTAATAACGAATATAAGACCCGTCAGAATCATTCCGTTTGATCGATCGTTTCGATTTCGATAAGATTTCAATAATAAAAAAAAAAATAATAATAAATGTATACACGTCCCCACCTGTTTTCGTTATCAGCACAATGCAGACTGCTGTTAATGATTTGTGAGCTTAAATCCACGAGCATGTGAACCCGCGACGGCGAATAATATATTATAATGTGTGCATCAATCTACATAATATGATCATTCGCCCAAGGCATCGTCACCCCTCCTTTTATCCTATTATAATGCATATTTTTTCAAATTCTGATTTTGGAGTTTCAAACTACCAATAGGTATACTTAAAATTTAAAGACTATATTTTTATATTCATAGATTTTCGTATAAATGTGTGAGTATCCGGTGGCCCTTTAAACTTTTTGTCTCTAACTACCCATTTTACTGTAAATTGCTAAGAACGTGATTTTTTTGAAAAATGTTGATGAATCAAAATTTGCATTTAAAATCGTAGTTTCTGTGTTACGTATTACTTTGGACTGTAAGGAGTAAGGGAAAATTATCTTTAATAGTGGTTTTACTTTTACATCAAATATTAGATAGATGAAAAACCTATTCAGTCTAGTTTTTATCATAGACATATTTTAGAAACTATGAAATGTAATTAATAGCTATAATTTTTCAGATAACCATATAGTTTCATAGTCCATTAGCTCTCACGTCTTTAATCACATATCGTGGACTATTTTCCTCAGCACTTAAAGTTTAATAACTCAGATATCGATTTATATACTATATTTAACATTTAAAACAAAATATTCTGCTTAATAATATACAGTAAAAGGGTTAAGTAAAATTATATAATATAATATTGCCTACGGGCCATAATGCATATTGTTAATAAGGCTAGAATTTTATTTTTCTTTACGGATATTTTATATTTGATTTATACGCCTATACATTACATCACGATCGGCATATCCCATAATATATGACGTACTGCTTATATACTATAAAACGACATTAATAATGTTTAAATTGCCATTATATAGCTATGCGAGCCCATCAAGATGTTGCCCAAATGTCGTTACTTCCGCGACATGGCGTGGACACTGCGCAGCGAGGGCAACGGTACGCTGCAGACGGTTCACTGTCACTGACCCAAGGGTTCGGTCGCCTACCTGCTGAAGCGGCAAACGTACCAGACCGAGTCCAAACAGATCGGCTACCAGTACTCGTTCGCATGCTCCCCGCAGAGCGTAAGTACCATTGAATACTGTAATTGCGTGTTAAGATCGTCCGGTTAGGAATAGATTTTTAGGGTGTGTGTTCAAGAACCACTGCAGTAGACTCCATATCTAGAACACGTGAATTAACCCTCCCGAACAGATTTCGGTGGTCGAATAATCATATTTTAGTTGACTATCGATCAAATGTTTACCGTCCATCTCCATGTTTTGTGTATGATATAATATATAGGTTTACCCACACCGCACATAATGTAGGTAATAGTCATTTCATGGTAATTGTGCATAATACTTAAACATTGTAAATATTTCGTACTAGAATTATGCCGGATCGCATAAAAAATCACAAGACATTTAATAATGAATAATTGGCTGCTAATGATCCCTCGTGCTTGATTTAGTGGCCTACAGTTGGTCCACTAAAGCAGTGCTTCTCGACTTTTTTCTACGATGGCGCCCTAATATGTACAAGTGGCGACACACTTACAACAAATTATTAATGGATTTTTGAAAAAGTAACAACCATAGATTTATTTAAATATTAATATTTGTATAATTTATGTTTTGGGAATGAGACAATTGTTTTTCTTATCTATGGTTTTTAACATCACGTCATAACGCCGTTATAATGTCTAATTACCTATATAAATTATCAACACTTTAAGCACGTACCTGCAGTATAAATATATTTAAAAAAAATTAGTGACAAACGTCACGGTGATACGAAACACGCTGGTGTACCTTGATACACCAGCTGGCAACCACTGATGATTAAGATAACCATTCTTTTTAAGCGACACTGCCAAAAACCAAATATCCTAAATCCGACCGACAGTATGATGTTGAGTTAGGCGTACGAGCTATAAAGCCGATCGTGCCTAATTTTAAGGTAAAATGAGACATTAAATTCGTTTAGCACACACGTGCGCTTCTATGTTTATTAAAGTTTTTTAACCGATTCACCTTCTGTGGCCCCAGAATAGTTGTGTTTCGCAGTGCAAAGCGTACTGGTACTTGCCGGAAAAGCTATATTTACCCTTCGCGCGGATACTCCAAATTAAAACATAATATTTCAATGGTGTAGCTATATAATAGCACGCCTTCCGAGCATTACAAAAGACTTTTTTGTCGAAGGGAAAAATGATGTCGTTGTTTCATCGAGTGGCCGCTGGTATACTTGAACGGGGACTTTATACTATTAATTATTATTATTATTTTATAAGAGCGTTACCGATACGAGCCCGCGTGAACCACGCTGATGAATATATCGTTTGTTCTACAGTGTATTCTGTCTATAAACTACAAAACAACAACGATAATAATAATTGGATGGCGTCGAATTAACTCTCGCAAAGGATCCGGGACCATTGAATAGACGTCGTGGAGTTATATAGAATTATATAGGTAGTCATTAACAAAATTGGCGACTAGGGGACGACGATGATGATGTGAAATAATAATTAAACTCCGTATTATATTTTCAAAATATTCGTATAGTAAATATCATTAATTATTTGTCAGAGGGCGGCACTTGCATAAACGCTTATAAATTTAATATTTATCTGCTGTGTATAAATCATATAGTTATCTGCACACTGCAGTTTATATTTTAATAAATATACCTACTCCAAGCTGACGCTCATCGCATCAGGAACAATATTTTACATGAACATTTTCGTACGTGCCCAATATCAATATTATTTTTTCTAAACGCCTAGGAGTATAGTATAATAAAATTAGTGACGTTTTTACTCTCCCAGCCGGAGTGCAATGACAATGAACTCACCTAAAACTAAAAAAAAAAAAATTAAATGATTATTAAGGCTACTGAAACACTTATCAATATAGATGATATTATGTATTGATATAATAGTGACGCAACAGATAATACTTATTGGGTATAGCCTACTGAGGCACTGAATAATATGTTAGTATTTCAATTAGGTAATACCTACGAGCTACAGCTAATATAGATTCGCAACCTACCTAATTACATAGTTGTCGGCTTTTTAAGTATATTTATTATTATTTTATAAAACCGATATAGTCAAGAAGGCGTCTTCGGTGAGCAGGGCTCAAGACTAGGGGGAATTTAACTATTCTTCTGGAGAAATCGGTCTAAGCACTCTTGGTTACTGACTTAGCAATTCGACAGGATAAAAATGTACTTGTGCAGATAGACCTGAAAAATGAATGAAATTGTTTTAGTTAATAAATAATAATAATAGTAATCGTTTATTCAAATTAATAAAAAAAATGCCCAATAATATACAGTTATTAAATTTAAGTTGTTACAATACATTATGACGTGCACTAACACTAAACCCTTGCAAACGTTTTGGATAATATTTCTTTTTCTCCTTTGTGTCACACTACGTGTTGTTATAATCTGGAATTGTCTTTTCGTTTTGCAGAGGCTCCGGTGCCAGCGCAAAGAACCTTGCCGGCTGTTCACGGTGCGCAAGCGACAGGAGATGGTGGACGAGGTCAACACTAACACCCTGTGTCAGTGCCCTCCGGAACACGCGTGTCCGTCTCATCACACGGACGCTGGAGTGATACAGAGTAAGAACTACTCGGAAGAGAACATCCGGACGTACAGCGGATATTGTATGCAACCATCGACCAACTAAACCACCCAAAAACCCTCGCTCAGACCCCCCGCCCTCAAACGGCCCGGCCACGTGGACAGTATAACCGACGACAAGGGGATCGTTTTTTTTAAAATTATTTTGATTCATTCCTCAATATTTTTGTCTTTAAGACAATATTATTATAAATTATGATATATATGTATAGTGTATACATATTATCTATTATTCTGAAAATATTTTTTTTTCCGGCGGACAAAACGAAATTACACGGAATATCACTCGATTTTAACTAAGTACTCGATTTCCGAAGGTTATTTATATATATTTCTCTTTGTTTTGTTGTAATTAATCAAAAAATAAGAGCATTTTTTCCTACAGAAATTACAAATTATTTATATTTTATTCAACTAAATTATTTTTATACCAAAATCATTAAGATAAATATTAATATTAATAATACATGTTTTATCGTGTAAATATTTTACTACGTCGATAATGGTTTATTATTATTATTCTTTTTTTTTATATGATGTTCTTGTTATTTAAATGTTTAGAATGTTTTTCTTTTAGACTTTATTAGGACTATTATTACTATTATTATTATTTTTTTTTTTTTAATGAAAAACATCATTATTTTTACCTTTATTGTAATCTTGTGTAAATAATTATTATCATTTTATAATTTGAGTGAGTTGTACAATACATTTATTTCTTGTGAAATTTTAAAGACGTTGATTATCAAAAAAAAAAAATAAATATTTTTATTAAAACTTACAAGTACATATCGAGTTTATTAATGTTTGTACACTGTTAAATGCAATCATATTCAATTAATCGTAGATATTGTTCAGATTTTTTTCAACAACAGAAAACACACATAACAATTTATTATGCTGTGTATCATTTAAAATATTGTGTTATTAGTTATTAAGACTATGTACCTATATCTATTATGTCACAGTTGAATTTATTAAATGAAAATGTACACGGGTGTTGTCGTTTACAACCTAAACTATAAATACAGACTATTTATATTGAAAAAACAACAGTTTTATTTTTTCTTAATATTAGTGGCTTTAAAATATGTATTAAGTTTTTTTTAAACCCAAAATCATTGATCGATAATATAATGGGTATGAAATAGAATAAACTACAGTAAAAAATCAGTAATAAATGAGAATCTACCAAAATTGTGCATTAGAGGTGGTTCAAATTTACCAGCTTAATCAACTGTGGAAATATAAACCTTGTTCGTGGACTTTACTCTAGCGAATAGGTATTATCAGTAGCTTTTAACTAACTTATGCACAATAAATAGTTAATATTTATCCGAACATTATGGTACCATTTCATACCAAGTTAGGTAGTTCTGTTTTAATATTTAACGTGTTTGAATTCCAATATAATAAATAGTAAATAAATGATAAAAATAAATAAATAATATGAGTTGTATTTATCGAATCCAAGGAACTTAGGATGTCTTAGAAACCGGAACGTTAAGGATATCGGAGACGGCTCGTTTTTAAAGTTCAAAACTTGGTTCACTGAAAGTCACTGATAATATAAGTCAGATTTCAATATTATTATTTTTCTAAAAAGAATGATCAAAGTCCGCGGATTATATCTAAGCGAGGCGATATTGTTTTTTATGTAACGTATATTTTATCGTTGAAATAGTTTGACAAATTTTAATATTATTTTTTCCGTACAGCCTTTTTGACGATCACATAATTACACATTTTCTGAATTTTCGCTCCTCAATGAAAAGTGTGTCTATTCCGTTTTTCTTTTCGTGTAGCCGTGTCGGCTCCAATACGTTTAAGCCAATCGTGTTTAGTTGGCAATTTTGCATGCAAGCCATAGTGTTGCATATATTGCGCCGTGTGTTCTTATGGTTTATTTATTAACTGTACCTAACCAGTCACATTATGAGACGCAGCAATTAATAATTATACCTTAGAAAAAGTTATAACGCGGAATAATACAATTAAGGCTCAGTAACGAATTAATAGTAAAACCTATTCAAAATCAAATAATTACAAAACCCGTAAAACTTAGAGGGTTTCAAAAGAATCACAAGTGGAAGCTTTTACATGATATTTTCTTCATCATACTATTACATTATACAATAAATTACAATATTATACTACGATTAACGACTTAACTCACTTTCTATAAAGCTAAGTAAGTCGACTTTTGGAATGGTTACTAATTCTAGAACTTACCTTAAAGCACAGTTGCTGGGCCCTGCTAAACATTGGATAGTGACAAGTGAACAGTGTTTGATGATCGATTGGAGTATCAATAATTCCTAAGCCGAATAATCATGAATGTTGTATGCATAATCGTTTAAACTTGTTGTATGATTGAAAGAACNAAATGCAATAATAATTAATATAATTTTCAAAAATCTGAAATGCAAAATCCCCAAAACATTTTTTAATAGAATTGTTCTATCAAAAATAAAAATCGAAATAGCATATTTAATTGCAAAATGAATTAAAAAGAAATTGAAAAAATTAATTTAAAAATAATAATTATAATAAACAATGGCACAAATAAATTCTATAAGAATATTAGAAAATATGAAAGTCTCTGAGCTTAAGTCAATAGCAAAAGAGGCTAAACTTAAGGGTTATAGTAAACTTAAAAAAAATGATCTTATATCAAGAATTAGGAGAGGTCATACAATTCATGATTTAACAATTTCTGAGCTTAAGTCAATAGCTAGAAATTTTGATATAAAACAAATTTACAAACTTAAGGGGCCTCATGAATGTGCGTTTTTTGGTCAAAAACCATTGTTTCTAATTCCAACGTTACATGTAGACAATTTACACAAATTTCATTCTGAAAAAATATTCAGATTCTCTGTAACATGCACAAGGGAACGAACGAGCCACATTTTTAATTTTTATAATTAAAATTGCAATACATTTCGTTCAAATGTTCAAAAATGTGCGAAATTTCAAACTTAAATATTTAAACAACTAGATACAATTATAAAAAAGTGCCTCGGTCGATCCCTCGTACATGTTGTGGAAAATTAGAATATTTTGTCAGATTAAAAATCGAGGTATTCGTTGTGCCGTATTGTTGGAATTAGAGTTGCCAGTTTGAGTGAAAAATTAACATTTTTTTCGCTATCACAAAATAGGATATGACATGTGCCTGCGAGTGCGGGCGAGTTCCCTCCGTACCCGCTGACCGCCACCACAATGTAACAGACCATAATTACCGTCGCGTCGCGTTCCTAGAAAAGATCAGATAATAAAGCACTTATACTTTTAATTTGGAATAGTAATTATTAGTAATAGTAAATACATATATTTAGAGTTCAGTATTATATTATTATACATTTCTTGGATACCTAGGTGGCTAGGTACTGTATAGGTAGGTAGGTAGGTATAATTTTTTTCTAAATTATTGCCATCTGCGATCGAATGTTAGCATTATTTGACAGTCGACAACCATCTAGTCAAGTTCGATTTATTATTTTACAATGAGTCCAAAATATGCACCGAAAACAAAAATTCCACTGTCAAAAAGAAAAAAACACAAAGGATTTATAAATTCAATTAGAAACTCACACACCGTGAAACAACGAAATGTAGATAAAACTCCGTAAGTGTTTTTATTTTATAAATTTATTTAGATGTTGCATTATAATATTATAATATTATAAATGTTGATTATTTATTTTTGGATTGTATAGAAAAAACGGTAATAATGATCAAAACTCGAATACAAGTTTACAACCACCAGTGATTTCTGAAATGCAAAATGATAGCCCAACTCAATTGTTTGCCGATGTAGAAAATACAAAATTGAATATTAGCACTTCACCCATTAAAAACAATGATCCCAAAATACAAATTTTATTTGGACGTAGAATTGTCGACATAGGTTATATTTTTAAACAAATAGTAGATGCTGATCACCACAAACCTTTCGAATGTTCCTTTAAAGACATGGTATGTGTGAATGAAAAACAGGATGGACTCATATCAAGCTTTAAATTTATTTGTTTGTTGTGTAAAACTCAAAAAGTAATAAATTCAGAAAAAAAAATAGATCAAGAAGTAATGAATCTAAATACAGCGATTGTAGCCGGAAATATGAATGTTGGAGCGGGATTTAGCCAGTTAGAGACTATTACATGTGCAGTCGAGATACCTCCTATGTCACAATATATATATGATAGACATCATAGTATTGTTTGTTTGGGATATGAAAAGGCTGCAGCTAATGCAATGGAAGAGGCTGCTAAAGAAGAAGCAGGATTAGCAATATTGGCAGGAAATATTGATAGTGACGGAACTCCACTCGTTACAGTTGTCGCAGATGGAAGTTGGTGTAAACGATCATACAGAACAATGTACAACTCATTATCTGGCACGGTGAGTACCTAACTAATATTAGTAATGTAATGTGTAAATTAAATAAGACAAAAAGCGGGTAAGTGGATGTCGCTCTGCTGTACAATAGGGGGTGGGGTGGACCTCGGTCATTGAGTAGGTCACTATAATGTGTTTGTTAAATTTGAATGCAATGATAGGTATCATATTGTATATGAAAAACGATTCTGAACGGAGATGATTTGTCAGTCTAGGTCTCTAGGATATATTAAATTTAAATATTGTTATTATTTTAGTTTATTT